GTGCGAGGATTTCGAGTAGAGGTACACGGGTTTAAGTGCAAAGCACGAAATATCCAAGTTGCGTGATACTGCAATTCACGTACGAACAGGAAGCCCTTAATCCGTGTATTTATCAAGGATCTGGGAGCAGACGTAAAAGAAGGGTAAGACTAGGAAAGACTTCGCGATTGCAACACCGAGAGATCAATTTTTAACGACGCTGGTTGCTACGACGGTCTCATTCGACGTTACTCCTGCGTCAGGTTAAACAACTATAGAACCAACGTTAAATATAAATTGTCCATATAAAAGCCTTATCTTTACGCGCGCTTCAGATCTACACGTGTAATTCTTTATTCTTTTGGTACAGTCGATCGCAAAAGATTCAAAAACATTCCACCAAAAATTAATATCCTGCAACTGCATCTGGGTAATTTTTAAGTAAATCTTTTGGAACATTAATTTCGAATAAACTGACGATTATTCCTATTTGATTAAAAAAAAATTAAGAATGAAAAAAGAATAGAGAATCAAGAATATTATAAAATTCTGGAAATCATTCAAATTAAAGCATGTTTACGTATAATGCAATTTATTAAAAATAGTGGAACTCGAGGATAACAGAAAATAGCTTAATTTACGATTGAAATAGTGTAATAGAAATTTGGAGATCTTTAAACAAGGTACGCCGGTTTTAGTTAATTATTGATCAATCGCATTCGCAGCGGTCGTCTAAAATTCCCAATTTATTAAGATCAGCCACAGAATCGAATTTCTCAAAGTGTTTCAAGAGACGCTAGATATAAAATTATAGTTAACCCATTCTCTTGCCGGGAACTGTACCTAGCTCGAGCCACTTTAACCCTCCGTTCCTGTACTTTAGTTTACGAGAATGGCGTCTAAAAAAAATGGAAGAAGTTAATTGAGCGTTAAAAGTGTTATGAATTGCTCGCGAAGGGAAACGGCGAAAAAAAGGGGGGCACAAAGGGGGCCGTTCGGTGTACATTTTGCTCACGCGATATCGCAGCTTACACAGCATTTAATTGCCGATACGAATCGTGTGGCCTCGTCGATATTTCAGACACGTTCCACGAGGACCGAGACGATTTTTCTCTTAGGGGCGAACTGTTTGTCCGAATAAATCAGATAAACGAATTGCTGGTATTAATATTTTCCCGCTCCACGGCACGTGAAAGTAATTCGACTAATACCGATGTTTCTGCGAACACCGCCATTTACCGACTGCAATCACGTGGCGGGATTAAATTTCTGATTTACTACGTCTCCCGAAGACAAACGCTGTTCGATTTCACGCTGTTCGATTGCCATCGGATCCTACGCGAATAGAAATTAACCGAATGCGTCTGAAAATAATGCGGTACTTATTGCCACGATTTCCTGATCGTAATTGCAATCCGCTTAAAAAGTTCCGAAACAGGGCAAACAACTTCTAAAGATTTTGCAGCAGAAAATCGCTCGCTCGAGATATTGCACAAATTGGTCACAATCTGATAAATATCTACGCAAGTACAGAAAAAATTCTCCCCAATTTTCCCTCAGCTATTAGACAAAAACGGCATCTCTCAACGATCGGCAACATTAAAAATAAGCCACGTGGCTCGAATAATCGCATCTCCTTTCTCCAGATTGTCCATTTCTGTTTACAAGCTGAGGGTGAAATTAGGGAGAATTTACTGTAGCCGACAGTTTCGAAATGTATGCTATTCAGAAGCGAAACACTCCTCGGTCAATTTCTCAACAACCATAACTGGACTAACGAGCTCTCGGCGGCGAGGCAAAGGGGGAGAGGTTCTGTCGCGTACATTCGCGTACATTTCGGCGAGCGCTGGGCGGAATTAAGAAACGAACGACGGTCTCTCGCAACAATTCGATAACGCGGGGAACAGCTCGGCCATCGATCAAGTGCGCGTACACGGGGTCGAGAATGTAATGACCCGTAGGAGCACCGGAGGCCACGGGGCCACGAGATTATCGGCGACAAGCTCGACAATCATTTCGCAATTACGAATGCAACGGAACAGAGGGCTGCCAGACGTCGGCCGGCGTCGCGACACGACGGAAATAAATCGAAACTTGATTGATCGCCGTTTCCCATGAATCCTCTATGGAAACGGAATTAATGCACTGTCAATCGCGGAACGTGCAAAGCCGAAACCGTGGTTTCCGCGTTCCCCCATCGCCGCCGGACCTCTGACATCGATATTTAGCCGGTTTTTATCAAATTTCTAGCGCCCGGCCACCCTTTCGCCCTTTCTCCTTTCGCTCGGCCACCGATATTCGCTGCACCACCGAGATACTACAGGGTGCTATATTTTTCAGTGGAACCGCGCGGGTTCACCGTGAGAATCTACCTACTGTGCGGAGAATATTCAGGGCTGGTCGCGTTGAAATTTCTTAGCGCGCGAGCTGTGCAACTGTTTTCGGGAAATTGCGAGGTGAAATATCGCGCGGCGAATGGAATAAAGCGGCTACCTGAACGCTAGGAAATCTTTGTGGATCGCAGTGGCGGAGTCTGTCGTGACTCGAGCTTTTCCGGGAGCTTCGATCGATTCCGAAATCTCGAGATCTTAGAATCTGAATCTTCGAAGAAAATAATGCATTATTTTTTTAACCCTTTGCACTCGAGTGGTGACACTGAGGCGCCACTAAAATTTGTTATATTACCTTTTAAGATTATTTTGATATTAACAAAGTTTAGATTTAAAAAATTATTAAGATAATTACTCGCACTGTTGTGCGAGTCCCAAGAATGAATTTCATGTGCATAGAATGCGTTTTGTCGTATAAAATAGAAATACTGTAAGTTAGAAAAATGATTTTATAATTACAGTTGAAATAGCTTCGAGTGCAAAGGGTTAATAATATACTACCGTGTTTGTGAAGCGTAATTTTGCAAGCGTGAACCCTCTGTCGATTCCGAATAATGGTTCAAAAGTGCAAAAATTTTGAGAACAGAGTGCAAGGCCTGTCTGATCGCGTACATTCCGCTTCTATTTCGGGCTTTTATTACTCTCGCCTTTGCTTTTGCTAGAAAATTGTACTGTAAAATATAATAAAATTTTGCGAAGAATCATTGCTGTATCCGCTTCAAAATATGTCCGATCGAACATTGCTCGAAACTGCCAAAAGTTTTCGGCCTGGTCGAAGAACAATTCCCACATGAATTAATCAATGCACGTAACGATAAAAAAAATTGCTTGTCGCAGGAACAAGCACGTCTCTCGTATCGGAAAAGAGCGTGGAAGGGATCGGTGTCACGGGTAAAAAAGTCTACAGTGTCGGCCGAAGGCAGAGGTAACGGAATCTTCCGATTACACTGCGAAGATTGTTTGCGTTCCGGGAACAATTGTCCAAGGAAACGTAGGTAAAGTCGTAGAAACGATTAAAGGACAATAGCCCGGGGGCGTAGAATCAAAGTAGGGAGGGTTTTAATCGCGGAATCGAAATCGAAAGTCTCGACAGTGGCTCGAGGGTGGAGGCGTCTTAGCCCGGAGGCCACATTCGATTCGCTTCCATTATCCAATGATTACCAACTTCGTCGAGAGCAGCCACCGTTTCAACGAGCCGATCGAGCTGAATCGATTTCCGATCGGATGTCGCGCAAACCTTCGGCCGACGCGACGCTATCGGGATCGTTACGATCGCCGCTGTCATTGTTTTCTGATCGAAGCCATTGTTTTCTGACGCGGGCTTATCATCATCGATCAATGCTCGTGCAATCAACCGGCGAGTCCCGCGATTATACCCCGAGAAGGTCATGATACCTACATCTATGCATGTATAATCTAGATTCTAGAGGGAATCTATATTCAGACCTCGTTCGCGATGCCAAACGATGCGATACGGTCTTCGAAACCGAAACGTGTTTCGTAATCTCGTCGATTTAGATGATCGACGAGCCTCTTCAAATCATTTCGCGATGCATTTGGGTATTCGGGTCGTTCCGGTTGCGTTATACGGATCACCGGATTGTAATTTTTTTTAGGAAAACAGTGCAACTTGTTCGTATCTATGAATTCTATGAATTAAAGAATAAAGAATGAAACGAAGAAGACATTCGGTAATCATAGGATCGCGTAAACAACTAACACGTGTACTAACAACGTTGACTTCTTCATCGATGATTTTATATAATTTTAATACTTCTCTTTTACGAGAAAATTTAGCAATTGCAGCTGTTGCTTTCATTTGATCATTATTTCATCGTTACCATTATTAACTATCACTATCAACACTTTGCACTCGAAGCCATTTTAACTGTAAATTTCAATCAACTTTTCTGACTTGTAGTATTTCCATTTTACATGCACATTTCATGCACATAAAATCGAGTTTTGTGACTCGTACACCAGTCAGACTTTTAACGATTCTTTTTACATCTAAGCTTTCATCGTATAAAAATTATCTTGGAACAATAACAATAACAATTTTAACGGTGCCTCGGAGTCACCACTCGAGTGCAAAGGGTTAATCCGTCAAAATTTTATAGAGAAATTACGAGGACATAAATAAGACCTATAAGTAAAATAAATAAATAAAATAAATAGATAAAAATATCTGGAGCGTTCCAGGATCATCCGTAAGACAGGCCGAAACGGTCCTAGAACGGCGGGGCTTGTTCGCGTTACAGAAACGGATATAGAACAGAAGAAGCATGGGGAACACTCGATAATGACAGAGCTCCCGAAGATGTCGCTCGAAGAGCTCCTCGAGGAGACATTAGAAGCGTTTGTTCACCGGGCGAGAACGGTTGAAAAGGAGAGAGAGAAGAGCTCCTCTCGATCATTTATCCTGCCAGGCGGAGGTAGCCTCCGAGCCGGTTAGATGGTAACTCAACACCTTGATGGATCAAAGTAGCGGATAACGTTGTTAGAGAAACGAATGGGCCCGCTCGGTTCTCTCTCCCCGGTCGATTCGAATGGCGGCGGCGTCGGCGGCGGCAGCGTTCACCTGCGAAGAAAAGATACGAGGCCGACGGTGGTACACGTGTAAATCCTTACCTCGCCGGAAGCCACGGCCTCGCCTGGTATGAAGAGCTCCGGATAAACGTTGTCCAGGTACCATTTGAACGACTTGCAGCCGAGCTTCTTCCTCAGCGCTTTACGGTCCGATACGTCCCCGAAGTTGCCCTGTAAATTGCGGATCATAAGTCCGGGAATTTCGGGTGACGGGGGACTGGGGGGACGCCGAAACCGGCCATGATATTCGAACAGGGCTAAACGGGGGAGGAAGAGGGAGAGCGGGCGACGATGGAAATAGGAGGGAACGTCGTTTCCGGGAGCACGGATTTAAAGGCGCCGGGAATCGGGGACTCGCAGATATAATCGTAAAAAAGGTGGCTGGAAACCCGAGAAGAAATAAAGAGCGAGGAGAAACACAGGGAGCCTTTTACGGACCGGAGTTTAGAGCCCCGAAGTGGAATAATGGGGATACTTGTTCAGGGTGAAAGGACGATTTATGCGGCTGATGCGCGGCGAATCTTCGACGATCTTTCGCCGATCATACAACGCGTCGCGGAGTTCCTTTTGTTACGCGTCCCGAGGGCTCGTCATCGCGAGCAGGCTTTTATTCGCGTCTGTCTCGTCGCGCGGAATTTTCACGACCGTTTCGGCGGCTTTAATTGAAAAGATCCCGATTAACGAATGTCCAAGGAACACGCGAGAAGCAGCGTCTCAGATATTTTAACGACTCGAATCCGTGTAAGTAAATTTAATTTTATACCTCGGAGGAGAATATAAATCCGCGAATGACGCGAATCTCGAAGGATGAAAATCTCTCGTTAGATCGTATTAAGTTATTTAAATCCGAGAAGGCTACATGTCGCAAATTGGCTATCGATTTTCACGAAAATATCTTGCTGTAAAAATTGCTTTCTCGTTTACACTCGTCGACCTGAAGAAACTATTTATAAAGAATAATTCGCCCGGGGCGAAGTTATGGACGAAAGTTTATAGGAAAATAAATTAACACTCGTCGAGAGAGAACGTTTATCGACGTTCGATAATGTGCGGTGAAATATCTGGAATATCCAGAATCGATCTACGAGTTACAGATAAATTTTTCAAACGGAACAACGATTATCCTATCACCGAGTGAACAATTACGCTGATACAATTAGGAACTCGCTACGGTGTGATCCTAATTTGTACAATACATATAATGCTACCTCGATGCAGAACCGGCGGCGGAGTGTGTAATCGAACTATCAGTGTAACGTAAGCTGCGAAATAGCAATCTACCGCGAACCTTGTATAATAACTCCGATGGAAACGTTCGAAACTGATTCATTTGTAATGGCGGGATTCGGTTGCAGCTCGAACTAAAACGCCGGCGATTTAGAATTGACAAGTCCCGGACGTATCGCGCTGTTCGACTCGGAAAAGGTTGTACCTAAACGTAATTGCTTGTACGAAAAATATGACTGACGTATCAGCCATGAATCTATTGGTAGAAAATCGAGTTTCCCGTCCTATCATGCATGACAAAATAAATCACGAGCGTAGAACCATATATCTTTATCCGGCGCTTCGTTTTCGAAAAAAGAAGCCGCTGCCGCGGACGAGCTACGGTCAATTCTGCCCAATTTTTCTTCGGCTGGTAAACAAAAATGAACAATTTCGGAAGAGAAGAGATTATTCGAGCCTCGCGGCTCGTTTTTATAATTGTCGATTGCCAACAAGTATCAACCAACAATTATTAACGAGGTGCAAGGCTCGAATAATAGTATCTTCTCTTCCCAAATTGTCCATTTTTGTTTACAAGCTCGATTAATTATTGGTACCAGTTAATACCAATTAGTCTGTGACTTCGATTCGTTCCAAATTTCTTAATTTTGTATTCAGTGGACCGTATTGGACCGTATTGATTTAGCAATAAAGATTGCTAAAAATCGGAATAAACGTATGCTTTTTATTTGCACGGAGCAACGTAAAATAGCTTCGCGAACGTAGCCATTGAATCCAATAAGTATTCAACGGTTTTTATGCGCTCGAACTAAGAACGCCGATGCACTAATTTCAACATATTGAAATTACTGGAGCAGAAAATCGAATCGGCACCGATATTTTGCAATCGGTGCGTAAAATTTTGCACAAAGATCCGCAGCCTGCTAATCATCGGCCGTATAAAATGGAGCGCAATAAATAGCAATAACAAACGGAATGAAAAATCGAAATTTCCGGCACACGGGTGCCGGTCGAGAGCATCCGGTCCGCCCAGAGAATCGAAACACGCTGTCCAGCCGGTCGTCCCCTTTACAAAATATCGTCGAAGAAGGTCCAGAGAGTGGCACTTGTTCCGGGGCGCTATAATTTGACGTGCGCGCCGGAAACGATTTATTTTTATCCTATCATTCCGCTTGCCCGATCGGTTCCCGTCGCAGGCGGACAAGCTGCCAGGATAAAGGATAGATCGTTATGACCGGGGGATAAAAGAAGCGTCTTTCAAGAAAGCCGGGACACGCGAGCGATCCCGAAGAGTGCTCGCCACGTTTATGACCCTCCCCCTTTTTACGACTAGTCTCGGTCTACGCCACTCTCCATCATCGGCCGTGGTTATCGTCATCCCTTATCGTAACTGTTCCCCGACGAACGCGCGACCCGGCTCGCTCCGATCCGCCGACCCAATAAAATCACACGCAAATGGAAACACAAGTGCTCGCCCCGGCCCGGCCACGGCGGGATCGTTTCACGACCGCGCGAGATACGATTAACGAACAACAACAAAAAAACTATATTGCCCACTGGCGGCAACCTTGTTGTTGCCGGAGATCGGGGATTTGATGCCGCCTTAATGGAAGGGTTACGATCCACTGCCGCGAAATTACGGGCATTTTCCGGCGGTGCGAACGCGGTCTTCAATTTTCTGCTTCGCGGGGGACCGATCCGCTCATTTGGCTAAAGACGCGTGGCATTCGAGGAGAAGCAGCTGTTTTTTTGATTATCTTATAGACGCAACGATGAAACGTTTAGGCTGGTTTTGGACCAGCCTTGTTGTAATATCGAGTGCGAGTATCGCACACAGGTAATTATATAAATAATTATGATAACCACACGGAGAAGGGTAATTCCTCAGGTCATTTGGAGTAATGCTATTAGGAATATCACAGATCTTTTTCAGAATCCAATTTGAACACGCCAGAACGTCGTTTCCAAGTGCATTGAATTAATTCTGAACCCTTTGCACTCGAGTGGTGACCCTGAGGCACCACTAAAATTGTTATATCACGTTCTAAGGTAATTTTTATATGATCGAAGTTAAAATTTTAAACATTATTAAAAGTGTAACTGCTGTATGAATCACGAGACTCAATTTCGTATGCATAAAATGCACTTTGTCCAGTAAAATGGAGATACTGTAAGTCGGAAAAATTATTTTCGATTTACAGTTAAAACGGCTTCGAGTGCAAAGGGTTAAAAGCAATGGGTTCTCAAGACCACCCTCCGTTCCTTGTACATGAATCTATACCAAACAATCGAATACAAAGACCGTTAAGAAAGAGAAATTGATCATTCGCTCCATCCACCTCAATGCCCTCCTTAAACCACGTTAAGTCAGATACACAAATTTCAATGATTTCGCGAACGACAAAACGACCGAAGCACAGCAAGTGCGCGTAGCCTCGACTTAAAAATCTGCCGAATCGAATTGAAAGAATTCGGAAGTCGGTCCTGAGAAATCCGACGACTTCCGGGAAGCGAAAACGATGGATCCCCGGGGCCGATAAGGGAAACTTCAGTTTCGCAAAGTAACCATTTCTCTTTCCATCGGCGGTCTTTTTCAGGGAAAGAGCATACGTAGCTACGGCGTAATCCGTCTGGAGGAAGCCGGAAGAAGGAAAATCAAGATGACGAGTCGGAGAGGAGGAGGAGGAGGAGGAGGAGGAGGATAGGGTGACGGAGGGGCGGCAGATGCGTGGGCGGGAACGGGCTTTCTGAAAAAGGTTGCTTGCGGCAGAAGTGCTCACCTTGTCGTGACCTATCCTCTGGTAGTAGTACTTGGCGTACTCGTCTAGCCACACTTCGCTCAGCCTTATGCTGTTCCTCTTGAGCACGTTCACGCCGCTGCGCCACTTGTACGGCGAACGTTTCCGGAAGATGTGGCCCACGTGCGAGCACGGCACGATCTCCAGGGTGCCTGGAACCGCAAGTCGAATTTCATTCGTACGTTTCCCGCGGAACGGGGACGGCTGATTGCCCGGCGAAACAGGTTTATTCGGCAGCAAACCGGAAATAACCGGCGCCGCGTCGGGCCGAGTCGGGCCGCGCCGAGCCGAGCCCAGACCGGGTTACACCAAGGTCCGGATTGGTGGGAGCGACTCCGTGATCCCGTCGCTGTTTCCCGGTTTAAGCTTTTCGGGGTATCCAGGCTGGGCTCCCGGGGGCAAAAATCGCCGCTGCCGCCAAGGCCGAAGAGGCGAAAGCGTTATTGGTTGTCGAGAGGGATTACAACCTGATGTGGATTTACGTCGAGCTAGATTGGATTGCTGGAACTGCATTCCAGGCTTGATGCAGTTTAACGGCGTCCTTAGACCCGCCCGAACAACCGTCCACCGATCATTGTGTTTGGATTTTATGGGGGGATGAGGTATCGTTACGCTTCTTCTGCAGAACTCGCTAAACTGTTTAAACGCTGAACATGACTCTAACGGGACGTCTCGCAGGAATGGCGAAATTGAACTCGCTGCTTTATCGTAATGATGTCGGTGTCGGTGAAAGGGTCTCGAACGTGTCTCGTGTGACCGGCAGGATAAGTTTAGGGCTGGGATTATGCTATCGAAAACTTGCGCGAAATTTCTGAAAATATTATCGCGCGCGGTGCGATTACCTCGTTATGCTATCGATTTATTATTCAGTCTAAAATATTTGTCCATTTGGTCGAAAATTAAAAAAACGTAACTGAACAATGCGTGCGTAAATGCGTATCGATTATCTTACAAGTAAAATAGTAAAAGCAGAATGTAGCTTTAAAACGTGAAAATCGTTCGGCGGAAGTGCTGTGATTAACACAGCCTGAAAGCGTGATATCAGCACACATTCCAGGAAGTGTTGAATTAAAGGACGGAAAGAACGAATTAAAGGCAGGAAATGAAAGCGTTAAATTATTGAAGATCTTGGATAAATATATCCTTACATAGATTGCAAAAGCTGAACAAAGGCTTCTTCTTCCCTCGTTGATTTTCAGGAAGGAAATGAAAGTCTTAAATTACCGAAGAACCTGAATAAATATTGTCGAAAGACTATCGCAGCCGAACAAGGGCTTTCTTTCACGATTATACGGAGGGAAATGAAAGTCTTAAACTACCGAAGGCGTGGCGCAAATATTGTCTATGGACTGTTACAGGAGAGCAAATTATTTGTCACCGTTGCGTACCGTTCAGGTAATTGTACTATTAATATTTTCTGACTGAATTTCAAGCAAATGCTTGTTCGAAGCAAATTCAAACGATTCTCTGTTATCTCGCTGTATTCTGAAAGAAAAAATTGTTTCTCATTTAGAGAACAATTAAGCGAGTCGATCGACGTTAAATAAGTTGCTCAAGCTGCACTTTTCGAGTTCACTCGGGGATTAAATAAATTGAATTCGAGAGAAAGTGGAATAGTCTTTCTTACGCGTTTCATATTTTAGCTACTTTTTGTGCATTTTATGATTTTCCTTGCTTTTCACGTGTTTCATATTTTGGCTAGTTTTTATGTAGTAGCAACGGAGTTCTTACGGTCCTAGATGCCTAGGACGCTTTCCCACTTTCCGTGGGAAAATTCTGGTTCGTTCGTTCGTTCCCGTCAATTTCTTGGGAACTGTTTTTACGATATCGTGTACGTACCTCCACACATCCAGGTTTTGAACGAAAGCTCGAGATTTTCGCCGCCCCAAATGTCGAAACCACTGTCGTACGTGCCAAGGCGGTCGAAGAAAGCTCGATCTATCGAGAAGAGGCCGCCGGCCATGGTCGGCGACCACACCGGTTCCGCGAGATTTTTGTGTCTCTTTTTCTCCCTCTCTGGTACCGCGTGCCAATTGAACTGGTAACAAATTAATAAACCATGAGAGCGCCGCGAAATTTTTATTACACTCGCCGCGACACTCCGACGGTTATCTTGCAGAATTTTCGTTTATAATCGTCGCAGCCCGATTATCGAAAATCCGTGAAAGCTTAATGCATCCTATAACCGATATTAAGTTCGAATTTCGTTCTAAATACGCGCGCCCCGAGTTCGGATGCCTCGTTGAACGGTTTAAGCCGGATTTATAAAATTTCACCTCCCCGTAGCTGTTTAGCAAAGTAATGGCACTGATTTAATTTCATTTAGCGGATATCACAAAGCGAACCGAAAAGCCTGGAAATATGCGCGCGCGCTCTAGAAGCTTTTATTAAAGCTGTCAGACTTTTTAAAATAATGATCTAGCAAGTTGCTGTGCCTGACAGAACACGATCCTGTGTCACCCTTTCGCTGCTGAATAAAACATTTTTACTTAATTTCGCTTCGCAGTAGCTCCGCGAGAGTCGCCTTCTCGCACATTTTAATGCGCACATTATTAAAAACTTTTTCAACGGAGAATTTCCTCGCACCGGCTAAAGACAAAATATTCATATCAATGATAATTCTTCGCGGAAGAGCTTGGTTAACTTCGAGCTTCCCCCGGTATACGTAGAACCGATGTTTCTGAACGAAATTAGCAACGAATTAATGAACAGGCACCGGGGGAATAAGAAGACAGACGTTCGGATTAAATTGCAAATATAAAATCTCAAAGGCAAAATATTAAATAATATTTCTCTTCGTCGTAGACCGGTTCCTCGATTCTTCGTGCTCTGAATTCATTTTAAAAACACCATTTCGTTGCGAAACGAAGTCGGCATAATTTCAATGCACGATTCCACGCGTTTGTGCTACATCGTGAGACGAATTCTATTCGATTCCGACTTGAAATACGAGCGGAGCTGCACGAATTAAATGAAAAAGGTCCCGAAAGACGAACGTTAAGATACTGGATATTGCAAATAGTTTCGAAGGAAGTTCGCTGCGTACACAGAACACCCGGGATCATAATATTTGGCGAAATTTCCCGGCGAAATTTCCTTTGGAAACTGGGACATTTCTTGCATCCGACACGACAATTCCGGGCATAGTTTCGCAGTGAACGACCCCCGGGTATGAAATTATTTTCTGATGGCGACATAACAGCGCGCGGCTCAGCGGGGGGAATTTCACTTACTTGGAGATTCCAATCGAAACCGCCCACGTTGACGCCGCCCGAATCACGCCAGTGATATTCGAGCGTGGTGTCGTCGATCACGTCGATCACGGGGCACACGACCGTCGTCGAATCCCTCGCGATTCGATCGAGAAGTGGCTCCAGCCAGCCCTCCGTGCATTCGCAATGGCTGTCCAGGTATGTCAGCACAGGAGCTTTCGCGGCTGCCGCCCCTAACAGACGCGCCCTAATAAGGCCCTCGCGTTTTTGCGCCCTAATGATCTGCACCTTCGGGTAGTTCATCATATAGTCCTCCAGCTGGCGTTGCAGGTGAGCTGGAAATTCCATTCGAGCAAATCAATTTTAGGCAATTTTAGGCTATTTTATTCGTCGACTTTTCTTTCGGCACAATTTCTTTATCAAACGCGACAACCAATTTCATTTTCCGAACGTTTGTTAGGATACAGTTAAGTTTAATAAACTTTACCGTATTAAAAGGATATCGTTAAGTTTAATAAACAATTTTAAATGTATATACAGCAGCGATTGTCAACAAATCTTATTGATTTAAACAAGATCGAATCGATCGGTTTCCTGTTAAATTGGCGTAAGAATGTCTAACGAATCGCGCCATCTCTAAATAACAATGAACCGTCGAGTTCGCGCATAAATGAAAAGCGCAGCTGCAAGGATCGATCTAAGTTATTTAGGCGAAACGAAGATTTTCGTATCGAACAAATCACGGCTACCGATTACACGGGATTAGCAATAATTAGCAGTCACCGAGGATTTATTCTTCGCTTGGGACAGCCACGCTAAAACCTTATTTCACGAGGGCTCCTATCCGAGGAGCTTAGTTTAACTGCGGATAATATAAAGGGATTTTCGAGAGACCGTCGGCGTCGTTTTGATAACGAACGCGTCGATTGCCGCGCGCGGAAGGACGCGCGAATCGTTCGAACGACGGGAACTGGACGATGCGACGATGCGACGCTGCCCCGGACACGCCGCGGCGCTGTTTTATTTCGTTCGATTTTTTTTCCGAAACGGCCGAACGATCCTCTTTTGTTTGACCGGACTTTTAATAACGCACTTGATACAAAAATTCATTAAAATCGCGTTACCGAGAGTGCACCAAAAGAGAATCGTACACGGAACGGTTTAATTAAAATTCAATGTCTGAACCGGTACATCGACGACCTGTCGCGCGACGGCCCGCGTCATGTTCAGGATCGTTGAACACTATTTGCCAATTACTAATTCTTTCGCGATCACGGCGGCACGTCATTATATACGAGAAATAAATGTTTCGATTCGGACAAAGAACCCGTTCCCCGTAGAATTCGCCGGCTTTTAATCGCGCACAAAATCTGCCATTAAAAGAGGAGAACGGAGAGGGGAACGGAAATCATCGCTGAAAGTATTTATTCACTTTGTTATCGGAGTCCCCGTTAATGGTTTCTTTCAACGTATTCGCCGACTGCATTTACGCGGCGTTTCCGCGCCCGATTTCCATCGAAAATCTTCGCTAGATTACAAATTAATCGCTCGAATCGATTATTTCCCGCGCATCGATTCGCATCGAAATTACTCTCTACCGGAAACTGATTACGAAAGAAACGGTAGTCGATGCGCGCGACTAAGAAGATTCCGCCGAAATAAACGGATACGAGAAATGCCACGTATCGTCGCACGAAATTTCAGAAGCGGCTAAAAAGTTTCCGCTCGAATACGTCCGCGGACATTTTTCTCACGGCCGCGCGACAACGCCGGCTTTCGAAGCGGATAAAAAGTAGCGCGCGAGACGGCGAGAGGAGCTTATTGTGTCGTTCCTATGATAAAACAATCAGTCGGCTCGTAATAGGACACGCCAGGTGCTGTCTATGGTGTTGGTAGCCATGTTTATGAGCCGCACTTCCGCCAGACGCGGAAGCTTATCTCGAGCTTTTAAGGGGATTTTCACGGGCTCCGCGCCATGCCGCCTCCGCCACACCACACCATCCCCTATTCCCTGTCAAGGGTTAATCTCGCCAGCCTTTCCGTTGCGATTTTTATTTTTCTTCGCCCTTCGTTACACGCGACTCCTGCCGGTTATCTGGCCCCTCGACCCTCGAGTGTATTAATAAGGTCTGGGCGCCCTCGAGGACACCGTGGCTTCGAGCGATCGCGTCATTTTTTAGATGATGATTTGTATCGAAATAATTCTCATTCTTGAAATTATTCGCCGATATCGAATACTCTGAGATAACGTAGTCGAGCGAGATTTCCTTTAATACGTGATTTTCTTTAACTCGACGATTCCTTAACGAAAGGGAAGAAAAATAATTGCCTAATAATCTTGAAATTATTCGAATACATCGAATAATCCGAGATAACCGAGTCGAGCGAGATTTCCTTCAACACGTGATTTTCTTTAACTCGACGATTCCCTAACGAAGGGAAAAGAAATAATTGCCCAATAAACCTCGGCCCCTCGGCGTTGAAGTTCACGCGTCAAACGCAGGCAAATCTGACTATCATGCGGGGGCGGAAGCGAACGAACGAACGAACGAACGAGCGAACGAACGGAAGTCCGTGGAAAGGTATCAACGTGTCGGCGTCGTTGGCATGTATCAACCTGTCGGAATTTCCCGAGTACACGCGAAACATGTCGGCGAAAGCTTTCCCTTCTATTCACGTTGACCCGATCGTTACGGTGCTCGCGGAGCCCGCTCCACACGCTGGAGATGGATCGCGATTAATCGATCTATCGCGGAGCTACAGAACCCCGGCACCGACGCGATAACGAATCACCGGGCTGAATAGGGACGGGCTTGCTCGGTCGAGCAACTATTATTACCGCATAACGAAACTCTTCTATTCGGACTTTGTCCTCGTCGATCCTTGACGCGGAGTTCCCCTCCCCGCGGAATAATCGAACGAAATCGAAAGAAAAAACGCGTCGCGATGCGAGCACAAAGCGCGCTCGCACTATTTCGGTACATTGTGTTTCATGTTGTTCATCGATGCGCGCCGGGGGCACTCGTGGAAGTCGGATCGAAGTCGATGTCGAGACTTTTTTTGAATCCATTCCGATTCATTGTAATTTATAGGAACCGTTGGATTTCAATTGATCCGCGTGTCTTCTTCTAGCTGCGAACCGCTCGATCGGGAACTAAAGTCGATCGTCGAGCATGATTCAGCGGCGTTCCGTACGATTGTGGTTATATTCAAAACGTTTAAACGTTAGCGGCGGCTCGGTGACTTACGCATGTCGGAGTAATCGTCCACCAAGATGATCTCTTGGATCAAATGCTCCGGCGATCTGTCCAGCACCGAATGAACCGTCCTTAACAATACTGACCACGCTTCGTTGTGGAAGCATATTATCACTGCCGTGGGCGGAAGATCCTTCATATACCTTCCCGGTTCTTTGCACCTGTAACAAGAAAAATACATATTGTCAGTTCTATATGTATGACAAAACAGGAAATTGTTCGTTTCGCCAAGCTATACGCGACTAATTTTCATCGAATCGTGGCATCTGGCTTCTGAATTGCCTTCGAATCGTGTCACGTGGCCTCCGAATTACCTTCGAATACTAGCATGTGGCCTCCGAATTGTCTTCGAATCCTGGCACGTGGCCTCCAAATTGCTTTCGAATTGCTTTCGAATCGTGGCAAGTGGTTTCCGAATTGCTTTCGAATTGTCTTCGAATCGTGCCACGTGGCCTCTGAATTGCCTTTGAATTGCCTTCGAATCGTGGCACCTGGCCTCCGAATTGCCTCCAAATCGTGGCAAAAAGTTCGAAATAAAATAGTTATTTTTTTTATCGCTATCGCGACTTAGTATTCTCGGATCTGCGTGTTTCGATTCCGACCACCAAACATTTCTGTGAGAAATTGCTATAATTCGTGGCACCGAACGAACCGGAAATGGATTGGAAAGTACGGCGATCGAGAGCCGGAAGTTTCGTATTAATAAGTATTCGAGTCGGCTAGGAATCGAACGGTACTGGTATTAATATCTTAATCCCATCATCGGGCCGAAGATACGGATTACGGGGCAATAGATACCCGGCAGAACGATAGGGGCCAAAATACGGTAATGCGATTAGAAACCGCTGTGTTGGCAGAATAAACGGCCGGGAGGTGTACACACATTTCTGAGCTCCCTGTAGGCCAAGATTCCGAGGGGTCGTTTGATACGCCGAGAGCCGCGCCGCGCCATCGGCATATCGCCTAATAAAGCTAATGTAGATAATACGCTCCGTAAACAGTGAAGTTTCTCGGTTCCTCACAGTCGTTACGCGCATCTGTGCGCCTCCAACCTTCTCGGATCTCGTGGATGCAGTTCGAATGCTCGGAAACGAACTTCCCCGTTTAACATACTGTTCGAGAACAAAATCTTAAAATGATCGGCCTTCTCATTGGTCAGTGTTTTCCGTTAATAACTCGCAAACAAAGCCGCAGATTGCGTTTTTGTTGCAAGTTACTTCAAATGACCTCAGCTACCCCTCATTTTCGGCTGTTAAAATAATTGTGGAACACCCTGTATAACCTCTGAAACGAAGCAAACACCTATTACAGTTTATGAAAGAACATGCTGAATATAGAGAGCTCGTGTATAAAAATCGAAGAAAATACATTCATGCTTCGTTCGGTGTTTCGACGATATTGTTCCAAATTTTATCCGAATAATTCTTTAAACACAATATTTTTGAAAGCCATGCGATTTTATTGAACTTTTCGGGAACCGTGGAAGGCGAGGCGCGGGCGAGCGGGATGAAACGTTTTAAAACGATGATCATCATTTGGCGGAACGTGAAAGGGAATACGGTTAAAAGTGAAGTTTTTTAAAGCGACGGGCCTGACAAAGGCGTTACGGTTTGCAGCATTGCGTGCATTAAACTCGAGCCATTTTTTTTTTCGAACGTGGTTCCCTTTGCGGGAAATCAGTTTGCGGTTTATATTTGGCTGTTTGCATGGAATCAACTGTAAGCCAACCGGGTTTTGTGCATTGCGAGGGAGCGGCGAACAAGCAACAGGAAATATAGAAGCAGCTTACGCGAGCTTAGGGCAATTCTGACCGTGTACGAAAGAACGTGCGTGCGGCAGTAGATACGTCGAACCATGGTCAGACAAAAAGCTACGGTATCCGAGCGATAGTGCAGCGATAGTGCAACGATAGTACAGCGATAGCATAGAGATTGTATTCGAGACCCAGAAATTCTCCATCGACCTTCCAACCATGTACAAATAATTATCAAATAAAAATACTTTACGCTATTTTTAACTAGAGTTTACGTTCACAAATACCAATTAAATTTCGATAACTCGTCACATTATGATTTAACGTTGAACGTGTTGACATACTCAATCGCTGTATTGCACACAATGCTGTATCAATATCGCATTTCCTGCGATATTAATAATAACACGATCAGCAATAATCCAGGAGCAGGTATAACCTGTTAAAAATACTAAACAATTTTCTATCGGTAAAAATAAATCGTTGCAGACGATTTATAACGGATTAATAATTTATCGAAAATTTTGAAATTCATCCTCACTGTTTTCTCTTCTCCGACTGCAGAGCTTTTTTCCCCGACCATTCGATCTTTGAACATTCCGGGCAGGATACATCGAAGAAGAACAGCAAATTTTTTTCTTCACGGTCGTTCCATGTCAAATCGATCATATCCCGATGCCGGTGCCTACAATTTTCCTCGAAATGAATTATGATGTATCGCGCATGAAATTAGGATCAGGTGTTGCGCCAACCATTCTGCCGGCTTCGGAATTTCCTTATGAAAAATATCTTTAGGATATTCTCGCGAATTTCGGTGAAACCCGTCTATCTTGAAATATCGAACTCCTAAGCGTTTGCCAACTGCGCTTTTCGCGAAGCTTCATAAACAATGAGTTCGCATTCGCGCTAACTACTCTCGTAAACCGCTCGATTATTCAGGACACCCGGTACACGAGTCTGAAGCATTCGAGCAATCCAGCCAGCGAGAAAATAGAAATCCTACATTTCACGTGGAACGACCCGGCGATCGAGAGAGAGAGAGAGAGAGAGAGAGAGAGAAAAGGTGAATTTTGGCGATCCGTTGCAGCGTCAAATTTCATCTTCCTGTTGAAAATTGGGCGGATATTTAAATGTCGATAAGAGGAAGCTGGCATTCCGCCAAAACGCCACTAGACTTTTTCATCCGGAGTGGAGCGCGGAAGCACGTGGCGGGGCCACAAAAATCCAGGATTTCCAAAGGACTCGCGAGCATTTCCCGGCTCGCATTGCAAATGTTAGCTTAGCCAGAAACGGTCCCCGCGTCGCGGTCTGGGAAACGGGAGCAGGGGAGAGAGGAGCTCGTGGACGCGGGGTCTCAGGTTTGCGGGGGCGAGGGCGGATTAAATAGCGGAAGACCGTCGAAAAAGGCGGAGGAGAGAACGAAGGAGCCCGGCTCCCCTTTCTCATTCGATAATCCCGGCTGATTCCCAGCCAGCCAACAATGGTGGCCCTTTTATCGCCGGCGGAGAGGATATCGTCGCTGTTGAACGGCAATCGAGCAGAAACGATCCGCAGTGTTTCCGTCGGCTTAAAGGTTTTTCCGGTCCGCGTGGCCGCGGCAACACGCTCGTGAAATTAACGGGCCGCAGTGACAGTTGTACGGAACGATGTTCGGACGGTTTTCTACCGCTGTCCGACCGAGAAACTGGCCGACGTTAACGGGCTTTAATATCGCCGAAGAATCACGGCCGGCCGGCTTTTTTGACTGTTCGGTTCGCACTTCGCGAGATCACCGAAATTCAACTACAGTAATGTCTCCCTAATTGACGCCCGGATTGCGCGCAAAAATGGACAATTTGGGAAGGGGAGATACGATTATTCGAGCCTCGCGGCTCGATTTTATAGTTCGCGATTGTCGACAACTATAAACGTATCGTTACAATCTGAACGATTATAAATTAAAGAAGCAGTGAACCGTGATTTCGACGGGTTCCGTGAACCTAGCGTTGATATTAACCCTTTGCATTCGAAGCCATTTCAATTATAAATCTAGAATAATTTTTCTGACTTATAATATTTCCATTTTATACGACAGAGTGCATTTTATGCGTGCGAGATTGAGTCTTGTGGCTCTGTTAAGACTCTGAGTCACTGTTCAAGTGGAAAGGGTTAACACGAAAACAGGACATTCAGAATTTTTCAAAGTATTGAATTTTCCGCAGACTTCGTCTCCTTAATGCGGCTTGCTAATAAATTGGATACTAATAATTTAGCTCTTTCATTGAAATTAGATACTAGAACGACAGCAAAGCGTTCCGAATTGGAAGATCGTCCAGAGAATTCCGCAACCGTGTTTCCAATTGAAATCAATTACTCGGCGGTGTCGTTATCGTCCGCAGCAGCGTTCGAAGGCATAATTCAGGCCGCGTGCGTGTCAAAAGATCCCGGATAGGTGTTTCAATTAGTCGACCAGCGAAATTTCTCGGCCTTTGGGCAGGCCGGCCGCCCATGGGGCGTCGTAAAGATCCGTAATGGCCAAGGGGTGCGGACTTTCGGCCGTGAACGCGATAGGGATGTCCATGATGAAGCGTTCCAATGGCCGAAAGACGCCGCGTGTTCGCGGAACACGGGCTAACCGATGGGAGTTTTTGCACGCGAGGCGAATGAAGTCGTTTGCGAGACGGCGAGAATACAGAGTTCATTGTTTCCGTACTTTTCTATGGTAAACGGCTACGCTATTACAGTCGTTTCCACGCGCGGCCCTCGGATTTCTTAGGCCTCGTCCGTCACGCGGTTTCCCAGGCGAATTTGTCACTCGGTGTCAAATTAATGCACCGGCGAAAAATCAGCGTGACGGACGGATGAATAATTAAGCTTGCATACGACAGTTTTCTGTTTTACTTTCAGGCAAAATTTCGAGTCGATAAAAATGCAGTAAAAAAATATATAATCTTTCGTTGTATAACATTGCGCCCGATGCTAAAATATTTTTCAATGTATTGTTATTTAGCATCTATCGTTCCCCAATTTTTTTCATTCTCTTCCATTGACCCGGGATTACTCACGCGTAAATCTAATGCTAGAAGCACCCACGAGGAAGATTATTGGATTGCTACATGGGCAAAGTTGTGTATGTTTTAATCAGCGAACGGGGATCTTTTCATTGGGGATCTGCGAGCATCCCACGTGGTCAATCCCGGGTTGAAAAGCCGAATTCTCGATACATTTTGTCGACTCTGCTTCATAATTCGATTAAAATGTTTTACGACGCGATAACCAATACATACGTGTACCTGTTTGATCTGTGTCTCTCGGATTACCAATTATTAATTACCACGAAAATAACTTCGGTTCGTTTACGATGTAATATACCAACGTAATTGCATGTGTACTACTACGCATGTTAAATATTTTATCCGGTTAGTGCTG